GGCTTACCTTCCCTGCTTCGTGATGATCATCTCCGTCTGGTGCCGGTGAAATTTCAGCCAGAGTGGCCTGTTGCACAGGTAGACCTGAGCCTTGCCGGGAACTAGCCCCGGCTGGGTGGAGGAGAACTGGTAGAAAGGTGCCCCTTGGTAGGAATGGCCATACTGCTGGGGGTACGGGTAGCCCGCCGTGGGGTAGCCTTGCGGAGAAGAGTTGGACAGGAGGCTGTTATAAGCTCCGTTGGTGATCACAGGATGATGAGCCATGTAGCGGCTGGGGCTGGCGATGGAGAAGGCTGGGTGAGCAGGTCCATGCTGGCTGGGATAAGGGAACATGGTACTAGGAGCAGAGGCAGCAGACTGGGGCTGGCTGGACTGAGAGAGCAGATAGCGATCTGCAGCAGATCCATCGAAACTGTGACGAAGCTCAGAGACCCCGTCCAAGACGGGAGAGAGTTTATTTCTCTGGACGTCCCCTGGTGTGTCCTTGGAGTCAGGAAAATTGTCTGTATCTGACTGATTCGTCATCCCCCTGGTAATTTTTTTCAAAGGTGAACTTCTCTCCAGGTTGTCAGTGGTCGAGATAATGGGATGATCATGCAAGGCAAGCTCAGATCCGCCTGCATGTGGGTAACTGCTGCTCACATTGAGAAATTTCTTGGAGAGCATGATAGAGGGAGAAAGACAATGCTCCAGCTGCATAGCTCTAGCACCACAGTAATAACCCTTCAGTCCCTGGATCTGAAAGGGCTCCTTAGTATCAGAAGCTAGACATCCTGGGACCCTCACTAGGCAGAAAGCACTTCATCCACCAAATGCTTCCCAAACGTTTGATTTACTTTTTTTTTTTTTTTTTTTTTTTTTTTTTTTTTTTTTTTTTTTTTTTTTTTTTTTTTTTTTTTTTTTCCCCTCTCCCTTCCCAGGGAGAAGAGATTGGCCAATTGACACTATGCAGCAATCAGGAAAGACTCACTTTTGATCTTGCTGCTTGTGGAGAGGATGAAACGGCTTCTGCCATTGGTTAACCGCTGACAGTAATTTAATTAGATAGACATTAATTAGGATAATCACCTGGCTCCTGGTCGCGATGATCATGGCAAATTGAAGGAGATGATTTTATTGTGAGATAGAAGGAAGGGAAAGGGGGAAGGGAAGAGTGTGTTTGCTGTGAGAGCTCATTATTATGTGACCTTTCCAGCTTTTTTTTTTTTTTTTTTGACTACGGCTGGAAAATAAATCCAAATCCTACGATTCCCCAAATATTGAGCGCGTGTTCTCTACCTTTGTGCGTCAGGATGGAGAGCGGGTCCTGGGGGCTTCGGGGACCGGTTACGAGGGGAGCGCAGGGCTGGGCAGCCGCTGCCCTCAGCTCACCCCCGCAGTTTGTCCCCAGCGGGGCGCAGCCCCTCTCCCCCACCTCTTCTGAGCGACCCCCGGCGCAACGCCCCCACCCTTCCCACCCGCGCCTGCTTTGCGGGGGAAAATACACCCTCTGTCCCCGCTGACAGCAGCCGCGTATCATCTCTTTTAACTTCTGAAATAATCATAAGCCCCACAGCCGAAGTGCCCTAATGTATTTGCCGCGATGTTTACGGGTTCTTTGGAAAATAAATATTTTATCTGGGAGCCGTAATGCCGGAGATTATCAGCAAAACAGCGTGGAAGGCGTCCACCTTCCCATCCGACTCCGGATTTCTTTCCACCCGGTGCCTGCTTTCCCCTCCATCCTCGGTCCCGCGGACAGCCCTCGGTGGGGGCCGATTTTTGGTAGCACCCTTGCCACGAGCCGCGGCCCGTCCCGGCTCGGTCGGCGGGTTCGGGCGTAGCGGAGAAGCCCAAACCACGGGGGTGCTGCTGCAGGAGCCGCCGGCACCCTCTGCCCGGGGGTGTCTTGGCAGAGCCGCAGGCCCGGCCGAGTCCAGGGGAGAGCGGCGGCCGCGGCCCCGGTGACACCCGGGCTGGGGGGCGAGGCTCGAGCACCTTCGGGGGGCTGCGGAGACCCCCAGTTAGCGGAGGGACCGACCCGCGGGTCCCGCGGTGTTCCCAGTAGAGCCTTGGGTTATTGAAAGCGGGACTCTCCAAGGCGTGAAGATGCACCGGAGTTCAGGGGAGCCGCTCGCCACCCCTCCTTTGCCAAGCACCGGTCTCAATTTCCCTTCCTAGGGATGCTTGAGTGTTTTTAAAAGCACAGTTTTTGTTTTATCTTGTTTTGTTCTTTTTTTTTTTTTTTTGGGGGGGGGGGAGGGGGGGGGTTGGATTTTGGGTTTTATTTTTACCCCGGGGAGGAGCTCTCCTCTCCTGTTCCATTTTTCTTAGTATTGTCCCCTTAGCGGTTTGGACTCCAGGTATTTTACAGACCACATCTCTTCCCAGGTGACATCAGCAGCCAGCTTCAAATTCAACTGACAGCTAATGCAGTCTAAACCATCTCATAATAAGACCAAACAATCGTATAATTGCCTGAAGCCAGGCCGATACTTTTGCAAACTCAAATCCAGAGAAGACTAGAGCCAGGATGACTTGTCAGAATGTGTACTTCAATGCTCTCATCCTGTGGTCATTTATTTTTCTATTGCTTAACCATGAGCTACTTCATTCACGTAGTTTCATAAATGCCAACATACACACACTCTCTGCAAGGAAATGATTCTAATAAGATAAATTATGAAGCAAAAAGCAAGCAGTTCACTGTTCTAGTCGCAGTCGGGTGGTAGAGTGCATACAACTCTCCATACACTACCTTATCCTTTCAGTGCTAAGAAAATAGTTTCATTATTATCAGTTCTAACTAATGTTTCTGACACTTGTTTCACCATTGTGCTCACCCTTTCCTTTCCCTGCTTAAACCAACAGAAAGGTAATGGACTTATACAGGCAGGAGATGGATCAAAACGCAGATAAACCCTCAGAAATGCTGCCCTGAATTACAGAGCTACACCCATATAGATGCGGAGCTGCAATGAATTCAGTGGTATGCTGCCAATCACATGGAAGTGCTAATATATGCCAAAAATCTTCAGAGCACAACTCCTAAACTGGTATAATAGGGGGATATGCAATGGCAGGTGGTGTTACAGAATCGTCATAGAATGTAGAGAGGTTTGCTAATACAATATGCCCGTCCTTCGCGTTGACAGGTGACAAGGGGTCAAGCTGCTAATGAAGGTCTGCTCCATTGCGGCTGGAGGCTCAGAAGGAGGCTGCTTGCAAACCTCTTTCTTCCTCCAAGATGGTATATGGGCTGCTGCTTTTCAGGTTACAGCATACACACACTCTTCCAAATCCTTTGTGTAGCTCCTAAAGCACCGGACAAATATAAGGAAAGATGCCCCCCAAAACTATCTTTTTATTATTCATGAAACATCTTGGTAAATGGAAAATTGTGCCTCCAAGTCAAACTGAGGAGTGAACAGAAAGCAGCGTACCACAGCACAAGCTTACACTACAGGAGATCTGCATCTCCAACAGACTCCCTTCAGCTACCCTCTGCAAGATGTACATTTGTCAAAATTAATTTAGAATATGCAAGACTCACTGGTTTGTCTCCCTGCTTACACCAGCCTCTCACGCATGTATACACTGCAGCACTGCGCTAGCTTCTCTCCTGCTCTGCAGTGCCATGTTACCCACGACCTGCCAAACTCTGTCTCCCTCGTGGTGTTACACGTGCGCGTGGGAGTAGAGAGTGGCAGGGATGCAGAGCCCCACTGGCAGACGAGACCCAGGGCAGGTCCCCCGATCAGCTCCTGCCCCATCTCACCCTGGGGTGCCCATATCCCACAGGAGCAAGGCCCAAGTACAGCCTTCCTCAAGGACATGCAGGTTTTCAATGTAAATCGCCTGAAAGTACTTCAATTTAACTACACTCAGGCAAATGTGGTTTGGTATGTCTCCATTTTCCCAGCCTGATATTCCACTGCCTACTGTGGGGGCAGAGGGAAGGCCATAAGGAGGGCAGCTGCAAAAATCTGCATGTTTCCCTCTGAAGTAAGTGCATGCTAAATATACTTCAAGAGAGAGTTATTCTGAAATAGTAAATTAAAAGACCTAAATAAGAAATTCCAAACAAAAGAAAAATCTTTGAATGGTAAGGAGTAAGTAAATAGAAAAATAATGGGTATAAACCAGAAAATGAGACAATTTTATGGATTATTTCTTCAGTACTCAAACAAGTTGAATTTTTAAAAAATCATCTTTAACAAGAGATGTATCTAGTTATAAGTATTTGCTTGCCACAATTATTGTAATTTATTAAAAAACCCCAAAACACTAAACAGAAAAATAAAACTCCTGCCCAGACAAAAGAATCACATGAGTACCATCCACTACTTAAAAAAAACCCCCACCCCAACAAAAAATTCCAACCAGCCCCCGGCCCAAAACCCAGAGTCACTCCCTAAACCCAGTTATTTGGCTTTGCCTGCTTCAAACCCAGCAGTCAATCCACCTGCCTTCCTCTGTTTCCCTCCCCAGTCAGTGGAAATGGTTTTAAATGTCATATTCTAGTTGGGACTCTTTTATATATATGGACATCTTGTGTATGTTCTTTTTCACGGGAGGGAGGGTTCATGTAACCTAGAACAGCCTCTATCACTTTAATGTTTATTCTCAGAATACTGCTATTTATGACACCACTTGTGAGAGTTGTGTGATTCAGTTATCAGCAACTGAATTAATTTTCTTAAGGTCAGTTGTCTTCTGTAGATATTAGGGTTTGAATAATATTCAAAGGGAGCTGATGGGAATTTTCAGCATTTTGGGGTTTGTACATCCTCAGAATTAAGCACTACTACAATTTTTGTGACTTTTTTTTTTTTTTTTTTAATCTCCATGAGAGTATCTGGTAATCAATGGGAGCCAAATTCCATTAGAGAATTTTTGCTGTCCTAGTAATTAATATCTCAGTAGTTTTACAGTGGGTAGAAACAAGCCTTTAATAACGCTTTTTCTACTCTGTTATTTCCTGCTGTCCTTTCTCAAAAAAGATTGTCCACAACTTAAGACAGGTTTGTAAATGTAATTTTATTAAGTTGCAACAATCAAAATATATATGTATTACTGATTTTCCCCCCAAATGTTAAATGAAAATGTAATACATTTTTGCCCACATGGTGTTCTTGAATACTTTGTAATCTGTGAGGACCCTGACATAAAGAAAATGAAGCAAATGCACAATGAGAGACTGAAAGGTGTTATAGTGATGCACTTACATTGCAAATAAAGTCAGATGTCTCTGTTTAATGAAATAGAGCCTCAACAGTCTCTGTTTTGTGAGTATTAGAAACAATAAACAAATATACACAGAAAGCATCACAAACGGTAAATTGGTTATTTAAATACAACTGTATCCAACATAGCAGCTAAACACTGGACAATGTTTGAGGTCATCAGCACGTCCACATGCTCTTCTAAATGACGTTTGGGGTCCTGAAATACAAAGGATGCCATGAGAGGAATGACTGAAACACATCTCTGAAGAATTTCACGTATTTCAGGTCTATTTAAGATGTCCATGAATTAATGAACACAAGCCAGTAATGCTCCTACATTTTTCATTCCAGCAAGACCTACCATATGACTGAATTTCCATGAACAAGATTTTATTTGTCCATACTAACAGTTAAGTTGAGGATAGGTTTAGGAAGTAAATTTCTACCCAGCATCTGAAGAGTAACCATGACAGCTGTGAGTTTTAAGGACAACACACAATATGTGAAATTTACTATACATCTCACGAAGGCCAATATTTTAATCTTAGTTCTGGTACATTGCAATTTGTTTTCAGATCTTTGCACAAATGTGTGTTCTAATCCTGTAAAGCCTCAAGCATCATCTAACACAGTCTTTGAATAGTTGTGTTGACTGCAAGAAAATTAGCATATCTATACCCACAAAACATGTACAATGCTCTGTTCAAATGTTCTGAAAAACTGAATGTTAAGCCTGAGCAGTCTTCTGAAAATACACATCCCCACACACTATTACTCAATTGATGTGGGCATTTGTGGGCATCTGCATAGAACAATGAGATTATTTCTGGTTGAAAATCATACTCATGCACTTCTTCAGTTTCACAATTGATATTGAGTAATTAATCTCCAAATACTGCAAAAATATCAGGCACATTTAAAAAAACATCTCTAAACTTCATTATAGTATTATTGTAGCATTCTTTTGTGTAAAGAAATTAAAATATGGAGGACAATCAAGCATAGGTATTTTTTAAAAAAAGAATTATGGTCAAAATGTAATGAGCCCATCTAAGTTTACATAGAAGTGTGCTAGGAAATCTGTGTGAGCTTTCCTTCTTAAGTAACTCATTTTCAGAGATCACACAGTTCTCCAATATTCTTTCTGTTCCTAATACATCAAGCACCCAATAACCTTATATCCCTACAGTGAGATGTTCTTTGTTTTCAAGGTTTTTTATATAAGTTGCATCAAAAATCCACTTGAAAATTACTTGACTGAACAATTTCTTAATTTAAAGAAAACTTAAAAATTTTAACAGGAAAAAATTTCTTTGCTTTTTGAAGAACTGTATCAAAACAGATTTTTTTCATATATGCGTAACAGCTAGTGAAGCTCAAGTTCTGTTTGAGATGACTTCATAACCTTAAAATACAACCCTTCTTACATATTTTATATGTATATATTTATGTATGTGTAGGTGTACATAAACTCCATTGTTCTGAATGCTACAGAAATACACGAGTGACTGAACAATAGTGCAGATGTGTTATGACATTGCTGCTAGAAGCTGACACATAAGACCAATCCAGAATCCTTTAAATTCTTCTACTGCTACTAGCAATACAATAAATACTGGTTCTTTAAGGACATGCTAGATACTTTAAAAGCTATTTCTTGTTTCCATTGTCCTTCTTGAATCTGAACACAAGCTCTTACAAATCTGCTTTGCTCCCCTCTTGGTCACAAAAGCATATTTCCTCAATCTTTATGTTGAAATCAAATACAGAAATAGTTTTCTGTTGAGTCTTTATCTACGAAGACGTTATATCCTGACATTGCAAAGGGATGGAATGAATTGAGTGGGTGTTTTCAGTTTCAGCTATGGTCCTGAAGTGTTTTCCTCAAGCACCAACACAAAAGAACACAGCTTACTTGCCTATGTGTGGATCGGAGCACAGCACTGACAGTGCGTTCATGAACTGAGGACAGGGGTGAGCCGGCTCTTTAGCCATGACAGTGTATAAATAACATCCCTGCCTTTGTTTCCATGATTACTAATTTTTAAAAGCCTCCACAGTTTGGGCTTCCCTGACACAGACTTCGATGTCTTTATGCCTCTTAAAAGAAGTTAAAACAAAAGAAGAAGAAAGAAAGAAAAACTAAATCTCAACACTGCTCCTCAGCATGTAATAGAAACACATGTAGAACATGGCTTGCAGATATTCTACCGGTTACCTATAGTCAAAAGCCCAGTTCCTTACACAACCTTCAACAAAAATAAATTTATTATTTAAAGTGTTGAGAATATCATGCACATAGAATTAAAATCACCTACGCACATGTAAAAAAAATTAGTATTTAGAATGAACGAAGCATATCATTCCACCTCACTCTAATTCATCACACCTCACCTGCTTGCCAACATTTTTTATTGCCAGCTGTTCAGGTGTCATCTTATCTTCTTCCTCAACAGCCTGTGAAAGAAACACAGAAAAGGTCAGTGTTTCAGATTTCATTTACTTTCTCCCCAAGCCACAGATTCTCAAAATACAATTCTCTTTCTCTTAAAAAAAAAAAATCAAACAGCAACACATTTCAGAAAGTCAAAAGGAAAAGTACTTCAGCTTTTCAGCAGACGTGGTTTTAATTACCAAGTGTTAGTGCAAAAGATCAAGGCAAATATTCATGAATGGTTTTATTGTCAAATATTCACAAAACTGTTACTGAGCAAAAATCTCAAATGAGTAGTATCAAAAGTTAAAGACAGTTGAACATAGTTAAACTAGTAAAGCAGAACCAAAAGTGAACGTAATAATGAATTTTGGTTTAAAGGACTTCTAAAAAGGTAAAAAACGCAGCAGTCATCAAGAATGACTGACATTCTTACTGCTCCTAGACTGCTTGTTGAGATCTAGTATTTCTAAGAAATATTTCTAAGTGCCAGTATTAAAACAATAAAAGTAGCTGTGATTTCTCTTCCTTACAACACCAATAACAAATTCCTCATCTAACAAGGACACTGAATTGGGCTCTGGAACATGTTCTAAATATTTACTATTTATCTATCTACTGGAGTGATACAGATTGATAACCTTTACTGTGCTATAGTGATCAAACAGTCCATGACTGAAGGACTGAAAAATATGATTAACTGATTATTTTGATCTACAGGAATCTTATATTCTCTTCAGTAAGTAAAAATACAAAATTGATGTGATTACTCACATTTCAAAGCAAAATATGTACTTAAACACTTTCACAGCTTATGGCAAAAAGTCGGGCAAAAAGCCTGAAGAGCTAATATAGGTAACTTCACACAGAAACGATACGTAGTTGATTACTAAGAACCACAGTCATTCTGAACAAAATTTGTGATGATCAACTCCTTATGAAATAAAGTAAATAGTTTTTCCACTTCATAAACACAGCTGCAGTTATAGTATCATTATGGGATATGAATACCTTGTTGTAATTCTTAGCTAACTCTAACATCTCCTTCACTACTGTTTCATTGAGTTTGCAATGGTCACTGTAGTCCTGAAGTGTCAAACCTTCCATCCAACTCTTCTTATGCAAATTTAGCAACATCTGCAAAAGAAAACCTCTTTAGAGCATTCATCAGAAAATACTTTCAAAATACTATGAAGATCTCTTTGAAAGAAAACCAATTTATAATAATAAGAATATAATTTAAAAAAAGATCTTACAATGTCAGTGTTTAAATAGAGTAAATACAATAATCAACTATTCTGCTAGAGTAGATTATAGGGTTTGCATACATTTTTCAAGATCAGACTTCTTGAATCCTAAATATGAAAATGAGGCATGGAGACCTGGGTCACATTTACTTTGACAGGAATATGTAGGTTTGTTTTCTGGGATTTCCTATTCTTGCTGAAGCTTGAGAATGCACAATAGCATTGTAGAAGAGCTAATGGAAAGGTGAATACTTTAGCTGCTAAATAAGGAATAGTTAAAGCTTCTGCCCTCTGACAAAACTGAAAAATATTTTAATGTTTGGATTCAATTCATAATCAATAATTCATTCACTAATTATCTGATCTGTATGCATGCAACTGACAGAGTTATGATGAAGTGAACTTCGTAAGCAACCAAAGCATGACTCCTTGTGTCTTTGTCCTCGTACAAAATAAACAGCCCTAATAACAACATGATAAAGTGTTGTAGAGTTTTGATGGTGATAAATGCAGGCACTGTTAGAAATGTTTGAAAAGCTTTACTTGACACTGATGCCATTCTTGAAAGAATGAAGGAATAGCTACGAAGGTAATTTCTGTATTTTCATGAATAAAGAAAGCATATTTTATGGATCTCCTGTATGCTTGAGGGCTGTAGCGAGAACCCTTTCAGCAAGAAGTTTCAGTTTACCTTCCGTTTGCAAACACATACTAGACATCTTTGAGAACTGGTAAGACCTAATTGCTATCACTTGAATAAAAGTACCTGTTTCATCCTATGCACAGCTTTCGAAGAAACCTGGCTTTGGAACACATGAACTGAGTTGAAAGTTTGTGTCATAATTTGTATTAGCAAGATCTTAGCTACTGACAGAAGGAGTCGTAGGCAAACTGCATATGGACAGTTTAGCTAGGCTATCCTGATTTTAAAATTATGGTTTGGTGTGATGCGCTCCTAATCTAATACATGAAGCATGTACTCTTCTTACTACAGATGGAGACAACAGATCACCACCACCACGAGGGGGGTTTGAGATATGCACAAAGCTGCCTTATGAAAGATGTGAGAGAGAGCTGTTGCCTCACAGATTAAAGTCTTCCTAACTCGGTCAAGATTATTCTTCCACTTGCAAAGGTAGTAACTTACCTACATAAAGCCATTGAAGAAAATATGCACTTGGAACTTCAGGAAAGATTGGATATGAATGGAAACAATAACCCCTGGAAACTTCACAGACGTTTCCTGAGAGAGGTGTTTTTGTTGAATCCGTTTTTCTTTTCAGTAACAATGAGGTCTTGAAAGTCTGATACTGCCCTAAAAATGGCTGGGCATCTCACAAATTCTCTCCAACTCCCTGATTTGCACACATATGCTTCCATTATTTATTTCTTTTCTTATAATTACTTGTAACTCTCCAAAAGTCCAAATTAAGTGCAAAAACTGTTCTGGCCATCTTATCATAAATTTCAGCTATGAGATCAATTTATAACCCTAACAAGACTATATAAGCACACACAAGTATAATTGAGGACAGAATCTGACTTTTCAAGAATTAACTTCTGTAGATGATAAATAAAACTTTTCCTTTCTTTGTCTCCCCACCACCACCACCCCTCTGGTTTCTTTTCTGGGTTCTGATGGCCAGGCTAGATTTTGCTTGTAACTTGAGGCAGTTTGATGCAAAAGTAACTGACAACATTTATTGCAATAACTTAATAATATTTTTACTGTAAACGAAGGACATCACTACTTCCTCATATTCATCGAAGTCTTGGGGAGCTCCATTCCTACCAACTGGAAGTACCTTCTGTCAAAATTACTATAGCCAGTAAAACCCCAACATCCCTTGCTTATACAATTCCATTTTGGAAAACATGGACTCCCAGCTTCAGGAATTCCAGCCTGTGAAAACCTAAGGCAGCAAGTAGGTCTTTCAGCTTCATCACTGAAAACACGAAACTTTGCACAAACTGGTTAAGTGAAGAGAACAGCATAAGGACTCTCCATAACATGTGGACAGAAGTGTTATCAAACTATTTATATGGTTATTAGAATGTGGTTTTGCAAAGTTTCATCATTATGACTACACATCTAAGTGTTTTCTGGAAGAGAAGCCATCTACTCCAAGAGAGTTAAAACAACTACTGAAAGTAACAGTAGTTGAAATCAGAAAATTGCCAAAAATCTTAAACAGTTTGGAATAATGTTCTTCGTCCTCTGAATAAAACCTGAAACAATTACCTTCTGTTCTAGTTCATTCTTCCTGTAGTTGATGGTGATGGAATAGTAATGTCGGTTTAGTCCATGAATTAGTGCCTGTAAAATTCAGGAGAAAAATTGCATTAAATTAACCTCCACTGAAATGAAGACATATTAGAAGGGAAAAGCTCATTTAAATACAACCACCTCTAAACATGACTCAAATAAAAGAAAAAACACAAAGAAACAAACACACAGAGATAACAAGTAGGTATCAAGTAAATGTACCTGGACCTATTTCTCTATCAGTGTTCATTTACTGACAGTTATGCTTTCTATTTCTAAACCACAGATTTTTTTCACACAGTAACAACTATAATAAGAAAAAATGGTAACTGCCTGCAAACATTTGACCGATACATATGCACAAACATATTTCTCTCAAATCCTTCCTCTCTCAATAAATTTGGTTATCGGTTCTATTAAAATATTGGGCTCTGCTACAAACAAAAGACTATTTGCTATCTATTTATTTACAACCACTGTCAACATTCCCAGTTCATTCTCCAAGGTACAACACAGAGAGAGTAGCTGAAGGAGTGAGTAAATCAGTTAGACTATGTGCGTCAAATCAACCTTGGATATTACAGCCAATTTTTAACTTTAAATTAAAAAAAATTAATTTGAAATTAAAAAAAAAAGACCACCTTTTTCATTATAATTAAGCCCTTTGCAAATTTGTAAAACTTGTATATCACAGCCTGATCTACTGAGATTAGGTTAAGTGATAGCTGTATGCATCTATCTTCTGTTTTGTTTATGTGCATTAATTTTTTTTTTTACATTTATGACCTAAGGGTGAGTTGGATTAATATTTGAGGGGTTAAAAAGTCTATAATAAATCCTCATTACAACTAAAATTGTCTATTTGTCAAATAAAATTTTATAAATGAAGTATACATTTACAAATGAGATATGATAAATCATACATACAATATGCTGAATTAGTGGTATTTCTTAAGTTTCAGGCATTCCACCCATTTATATTTAAATATATGTTTTAGAGCTATACAAAATGAATGTGTATTTGCATCTTATGCAACTTAATATTTCAGCATTCCAATATTACCTGTAGCTGAAAATGTTCTCATATACATTTTAAACACATTTCTTTTGCAAACACATATACAAAGATACAAAACTACTTGAGTAGTTATGTTTATGAGAAAAGCAATTAGAGATAAAAATTACCTGTCCACTTATTCTGATTAAAATTGTAAAATACAGGTCTTACCATCAATTAAGTTATTTATAATTGAAACTATTAGCAGTAAGTAGTTTCCACTACCATCTTATTATCCCACTCAAAATGATTGCATGTGAGATTTTGGTGTTTGTGTTTACACTCAGGTACATTAGAAATACTTAGGAAGTTTTCTGAAGCTCTTAAAATTTGACAAATATCTTTGCCTTCTGTCCCACTATCCTTCCCTTTCCTCTCCCTTTTCAAAACTCATTCCTGAAAAGAGTGGACAGATGTACAAGATAAACAACTGTAAAAAAGCTGTTGATATGGGAACACAAGAAAAAAACACACACACGAAAACAAAGGAACAAAGTCAAGGCATGTACTATTCTACTACTCTTACTGCTGAGATTTCAAGGAAATTTCTGCTTTTGGCTCAGCTGAAATAAATATTTAGTTTGCTTCTGTCCTCAGCTGGGTCAGAATGCTATTCATGGTCCTAAAATAAAAGCAACACAACACTGCAAGAGTCTTTGCAGTTTTAAGAACAGAGTCATTTAAAACTATGATTTTTAGCTTAACAGTGACACTTGCAACACCTCACTGCCACCTTGCAAAAAATGAACACAAAAAATACCCACTTCAACAACAGAAACCCCAAACTTCCATGGCCAAAATATGCCACACTGTAGTGACAGTGATCTTAAAATAACGAAGCTGAACAATACTACAGGGGTTTCCAAGGGAGAGCATTACACACGGTCTACAAAAACCCAGTTAGAAAAGCCTGAAACATGCAAGCATGGGCTTGCCTACATCGCATTAACAATACTAGCTGATGATTTCATACTCATTATTGTTTGCAGTTTTAACCAATTAAAAAATAAAAAGTAAAACACAGCCTCCTGAAGCAGATACTTTAATTTAAAGACTTTTTTTTTGCTAGAATTTTTTATAAATAGTAAAGCGTTTCAATGCATTAGTAACAAAAAACCTGCTCTTTTGAAAGATAGGGGTATGGCAGCCTAGTACCTCATAAAGGAGGGCCTTCTTACAGCAGAAGTTCAGCTTTTATTTCAGTTCTGCTGTGAGTAGTGTATGGTCTTTTTCTTGCATTTTTATTTAGAAATATTACTTCTATTGTTCAAGTACCAGAACAAAAACGTGGGGATATTGGGCTTCACCATTCCAAGTACACATGCCTTTTAGAATGCACAGTAAGGGAGGAAAGTTTTTAAAGTAAAAAACATTGAGGCACTAGAATGACAGGGATAAAAGCATTAACTACTCCAGAGAACACCTGTTTCAGGACAGGAGCTATTTCTCAAAATAAAGGCTTGCTCTGATGAAGACCAAAACTTTTGTCTTACTAGTGAAAGTCAAGTTCAGAAATCAGACTTTGAATATTTATGTTTCAGAAATGTGTGTTCAAAAGAAACATTACAGCAGAAGCCAATCAAGCACCCATTTTACCCACTGAATATCCTCTTCCACCATTTTCCAGCAAATTACTGCATTACATAAAAATCAGAAATTAATTATTTAAGACACAATACAAGGTTTAGACTAGATTACATAATAAGCAAGAATCTCTAAAAACATACAGTAACAAGACAAGATGAAGAGGGAACTTCTTCCACAATTTACTTGAGAGTAACTTTTCTTTAAGAAAGCTGAGACGTTAATAAGCAGCAGTTTTTAAATTGCAGGACTGAAAACAGTACTCATCTTGCATCACGTGTTACATCATCAATTGTCACTTTTAAAAGTTTGCATTTCCACAAATCTGTACTTGAATCTTTGCTGTGCACATTTAATACATTCATTCCCACTTAGGTAGCTAATTTAGGGCTGAATTTTAAACCCCTCACATGTATATCTCCACTGATGAATCCCATCAATTATAAATGCATGGAAAAATGCTACAGAGAACAATAAATAATTTGTAACCTACAGTTTCTAGGTACCTTTCCCCAAAATTAATGAACAAATCTTGCAATTTACAGAACTATCAGCATTGTGTTTACCTGGATAGATGGCTTGTTTAAGTGACCCAGATTTGAAGTTGTTTGTCTTGGTTCATGTCCTAAGACCATCATATTAGCATTGATCAATCTGAAGGCATCAATAACAACCTGTAAAAACAAGATGTCAAGTCAATTCTTTTTATAAAATGCAACTAATAGAGCCAAGCAACAGTGGACAAGGCACAATCAACTCTCATCTGTTTTTGGCCTTTATCCAGAAAATCATTTAATTATAATATTAATAAAAAAGAGCCTCCTGCTGGCTATGTGATCAGCACACTACACTACCTTGTATTGTAAGGTGACACCAATTATTACCTTTTCCATGGAACTTCAAGTTTTATATACATTATATCATCATATAACATTGAATTTTGTGTACACTTACTCTAAGCTTCAAAGCTATGCATATGTTTGTCACCTAAATCTTATCCAATCAAAATGAATGACAGAGAGAGACTAAAACTGAAAGTGAGCACAAGCTAAGGGACCAAGTCTAAAGCCCAGTCCTGTCACATCAATTATACTACCACAATACTTGAAATGACAACAAAATTATAGCCAGCAAGGAACTTGCCCCATGTATTCCCTTCTAGTCAGATGCTTTTTGCTTCTTGTGACTACAAAAGGGTCTATAAACTGTCTGATGGATTAAAAAGTCCTTGTCAGTGTCATGCTCAGGAGTAAAAAACAGAGTAAAAGAAAATCAAGGTCATTTATGATTTAAAGGTACACAGTAGGTAGCATTCAGAGCTATTTCATTACAAATAAAGTAAATCCATCACTGATTCTTACTCTGTCCTGTGCTGAATTTGTCTGCAAAAATTTCTGGAAACAGAATTTCACGGTCCCATACAATAAACACCACACCCCTATCCAACACCTATATGAGATGAAACAGACTTAATGACAAACAAATAATATGCTCAAATCCACTCTTACTGGGTCCTCACCATTACAGGTTTGTAACTGCAAGATAAGAATTCTTGTTTAGGTTCCAGTTTTTTACTGGACCAGTGCACGTACAGCCTTGTATATCCACAAAACAGCACCAGGCAGACTTTGCAGGCACCTTGTCTGCATATGTTTGAAGAGTTACCCTAGTTCAATACACTAAATAATTTAAATCTTCTTTTAACAGCTTTTCTATAATAATTTTTATTCTCTTCATCTCCATAGTATGGGG